CAGTCAGACAGTTACGCGTACGCAATTTTTTAACATGGGGCTGGCGCTTGATTAATCACCTACCAATGCTAGTAGTATTTGTCAGAGTGGTGTATACTAGCACAGGACAAGACGTTGTAATGTAAGCTAGGTATTACGTTGTAGTGTAAGCTAAACAATACAGTGTAGTTTATGCTAGACAGTACGTTATAGTGTAAGCTAGACAGTACGTTATAGTGTAAGCTAGACAGCACGTTATAGTGTAAGCTAGTGTAGAGTAGTAATGTTGTAAGTTAGACAGTGGTGTACACGTCGCTTGCCCATCGTGGTTCAGTAAGCCGTGATGGTAGCGAGTCTTCTATGCTTCCCGCTTAATTGTTCATACTGGGGCGCCGGGTCCCTATATGGCCACGCGGCATGGTGAATGGTGACGAGTGACGGGCTATTCGCTCTCTAGCTGCAGTAAGATGATACATGCATCAACGCCTACCGCGCGACATATAACACGACATGACTCATGCCGGCACTTCTTTACGCCCCGACAATTTTGTTTAACAGCAGTTGTGGTTGTAGTTGTTGTTGTTGCTGTTGCTGTTGCTGTTGTTGTTGTTGTTGTTGTTGTTGTTGTTGTTGCTGCTGCTGCTGCTGCTGCTGCTGCGATTGCGGTTGATACTGCTGCTGCGGGTGGTGGTGGTTGTTGTTTTTGTTGTTGTTTTTGTTGTTGTTGTTGTTGTTGTTGTTGTTGTTGTTGTTGATTGTGGTGGCGGCGGTAGCGGTTGGCGGGGGCGGTGGCAGTGGCAGTGGCGGTGGCGGTGGTGGTGGCGGTTGGCGGTGGTGGTGATGGGGGCGTCAGCGGAAACAACCGCATGAGCGCTATCGGTATAGCACTATGGTGCAATGCAGGGCTATACGTCAAAAATATCAAAGGCATGAAGGGTGGGGGCTATAGACTGGACGCTTACTAGCACCGCCGATATTTAAATTTAAACGTTGGTACGAATGTTGCTCATGTGGTAGTTTACGTTTGATGAGCGGCCCAATATGGCCCAATTATAGCGAGTTGAGTTAAGCGTGGTGGGCTAACACGCTTATTTTGCTAAACGCGGGTCTTAATGTACTACGGAATACAGCGTAGCCGGCCATGTTGCGAAGATACCCTCACCGGGTTCCATGATTACTGTGCGCTGTGGCGCGCTAGGGGCTTCACTGTTGCTGCAGCAGCAGCAGCATTAGCAGAAGTGATAGAAGTAGCAGTAATACTGCGGCAGTCGTAGTAAGTAACAGTAGTAGAAGTGCTGGAAGTAGAAACCTGTTGTACTTTCGTCGTTCGCCTGTGGTCTGTATGGTCGTACGGACCAGGCCCGTAGTTCGGGAGGTTCGCACCAACCCCCCGAGCCCCCCCCCCTAAGCCAAAAGCACCAGATCGCTCCATTTTAGTGTAATAATTGCAAAATCTCCATCGTGCGGGAGGGGGGTGTCCCTCCCCTTGCTCGGTCGCTATGCTCCCTCGCTCGGTCGCTTCGCGCCCGAACAAATTGCAGACATTTAAAAACGAACCCCCTCCCCCAGTATAAAGCTAGCTACGGGCCTGCGGACATAGATGATTACATCAAAAATCTTTGTATAAATAATCGTCATGCATAACCATTATAGATGGAAATTTCAATATATGTTTTTTCTTTGCTTATTTTGATTTATACTTTGTTTTGGAGTTAAGCTCTTTATCTATACTATGCTGATCTACGTCAATGTGGATATTAAATTGGTGAATTTTGTTGATTGGGTGGCCCGTACGTTTGTTAAACATGTGTGAAAATGTAAATTTCCTCGTATTTCATGAATGTTTTGACACAGCTATATGTAATCTGTACGAAGGAACGCTTGTGATGCCATTAAACTGTGTGTCTATCGTGCTCACGGGACAGCGTGTATACCTATAGCATTCACGTGCTCCTTATCCCCTAACCTAATGGGAGAATCTGGCCGAGAAGATCTCATCTCTTGTCTATACACGCTTTAAACATATTGAAATTGGCCCGTCTAGTCGTCCATGATACTACGCGTTGTAATTATTATATTCTGACTGTGCCCAGTATACTACATGAAATGTCACATATTGTAAAATACAAACACATACAAGTTTTTTAAACGTAACCGTCTTAATGTAACAGTCTTATAAGATTTCAGATACGAAGCTGGCAATTCTATATGTAAATGTTTGGAAGTATAAGAGTCGGCGTGGGCAAGTGTTTAGGTCATTACTGCCCCACTGTCACGTCGAAGGCGGTGAGTTCTAACCCCGACCGCGGCAGTGAATTTTCTCAAGGTGAAAAAACCTGGAAAACCCAAGGTGTAAAAACCTGGCTTTCAACATTGGAGACCGTGAATCTCCCGTGGCTCGGATGACCACGTAAAATGGCGGGCCAGTTTCCATTGATGACGTAATTTTTTAACAGGGGGGGGAGGGGGCCAAAAACAGCGAACTGCCCAAAATAGTGGATGACTTAAAATTTGAATGGTTCCTTCGCCTCCCTCTCCACACCCTACGCTCCCCCACCTCTCAGCTCTGCAATCTTTGTTTTGGGCGCCATGCTTAAAGGCGAGATTTTTTATCTTTGTTCTCTGCTACCAAGATATATAAAAGGAGGTGTTTGCAGTGACTTTTGCGTAAAGTCTCGATCGTGAAAACATGACAAAGCACAGTTAAAAATAGCTACGCCTTAGCTATGCAATATAAAATAGAAATATAATATATGAAATAGTGTAATGATAATGAAATAGCGTAATATTATTATGTATATCATATGTGATAATACACATTAACAATTACGCAAAGAATTTCCTAGGATTTCATGACAATGTATGTACGTGAGGTGGTTGTCAAGCCTGTATAATTACCTAGTTATTCATAGATTTCTTCGTGAATATAGAGAAAGCACATATAATTATATAACGCAGACATGTTCAATGTACCCCCGTAGTCCCTAATCCTAACCCTAACCCTAACCCTAACCGTAACCCTAACCCTAACCCTAACCCGAACCCGTATATAATGACTTTATTGATATTTGCCGTCACAACATCGGCTGAGAAAGGAAGTTAGGAGCTACGTCAAATCACTATTTCACTCATAAACGACTCTACGATGATGCCGCCTATTCAAGCGGTATCCCTTGTGAACTAGGGATATTAAGCACGTGTCATTACGATAGTAACATTATACATAATGCCGGCCATCCCAAAATTCGAGCAACGATCTTTCTTGTCGTTTCGTTGTTCTAGCAAAGACATTTACCCTTCAACTCAGACGATTATGACGATCTTAGATTATGATATTTCCGTACGGAAGATAATAGGTGATGATGAGTTATGCTTGCTTCACCGAGTCGTTCTTGTTGATTACAGGTGCGAATGGTTTGTTCCGGAGACGCGGCCGGCAAACGTACACGCGCTACCAGACCCTGGAGCTGGAGAAGGAGTTTCGGTTTAATCATTACCTGACGCGACGTCGCCGTATCGAGATGTCGCAGGCGCTCTGTCTCACCGAGAGGCAGATCAAAATATGGTTTCAGAATCGAAGGATGAAGCTGAAGAAGGAAACGCAGGCCCTCAAGGAAATGAATGCTCACGCGAAAGCGCTCGACGCTGAAAAGGCTGGGAAGGATAACAGCAGCAGCAGCAGCAGCAGCAGCAACACAAATTGCTCTAGCGGAACTAATACCGCTACCACCAACATCAGCAGCACCGCAACGACAGCTACAACGGCAACAGCATCGTCAACACCGTCGGCGCCAAAAGTGAAGTAGTTCGTATACGATGTCAACTGATCAGTGTATCGCCGTAGCAATGTATGCTAAGGAAAATCACAATAGCTTCCTTCATACCGCTCCGAATGAAAGTTGTAACATATCTTTATGCGCAGTAAAAGTCACTTATATTAAAGCAACCCTAGTCAGAAACCTTGTGTGAGACGTTTCAAACGTTAGGCTCGGTTCTAGCCAATGTTGGACATTCGTTCTGTATGACGGACGCTGTGCCATATCGGATGCGTGGCGGGAGGTTGTGTGTAGAGGATGTAAATGTACCAGAGTCGTCGTCTCCACCAAGCTGCATGCGTTACCGCATGACATCCTCTCCTTTAATATTACACGTTCTATGATTTACGTTACTCTCGGGGTTTTGGTTACTTACACATTCGAGACTATTAGCGTGGCATACAGTGACAGTGCAGTTTTCTCTCTCTCTCCCTCTCTCAGAATTCTCCTAAGCTCCTCAACGCTGTCTCCCTCGTCAAGTCAGTCACATCTCTCTCTCTCTCATCTCCGTCTCCTCCCCTCCGTCGTCTACATCTTCTCGTCTCCTCATCGTCTCTCTCATCTGCTTTCTCCCATCTCTCCAGTCTCTCTCAATCAGATCTCGTCTCTCCTCTCCGGTGTCTTTCATCGTCTCGTCGCCGCTGCCGGCAGTGTGAACCATCGCAGGAATAGAGAGGCGTCAGAATGCACAGCGCATCAGTACTACTACTGCTCTCTCACTCTCTCTATTCGCCCGTCCGTCTCCTCTCTTTCTCTGACTGTCTCTCTCAGCCTCCTCTCTCTTCTCTTCGCGATCTCTTCTCAGGTCATTCTCGTCTCGGTCTCTATCGGCCGTGCGCCTCGCCGCTCGCGCGTGCTCGCTCGTCGGCTCGTATGCTTACCAGTGTCATCCAGGATCCTCTCTCCGTCCGCTCCTCATCTGCCCATCTCTATCGGCTCGTCTCCCCCTCGATCTGCTCTCATGCTTCGGCCGCTCTTGTTCATGCCGGCGGCGTCGCGGTCTTTGCCCTATCGCTCCTCTCGACGGCCGCGCACCCCGCAGCTCATGCTTTGTACGTCCTCGTCTTGGTCCAGTTTCTCTATTTCTCTGACGTCGGCTC